TCTACCCCAATATAACTGCTATCGGGTGTGGAGTCGGGAGGAGAGGGAGTCTTATGGACAACAAGTGCTTCACTTATCATCCAAACAGTAATACAATGTTTGCCGGCATTCAAAACGGACGGGTAGTCCAGACCGGAGAGACGCCGTGGACTGTGTTAATCAAGTGTCTTGAAAAACGAGGGTATTTTTTTGTTTGTATATTTCCATATAACTAAGGTTCATTACGGGAGGGAAGATATATATTTTCCCTTATTTTTTCTTCCAAAAATTGGGAAAATCCCGGATCACAAAAGTGGTGTGGGGAACTTACTTTCTGTAGGGAAAATATATTTTAATTTTTACTAAAGGATTGCCACAATTGACCGAAAATCTTTCTAAATATTATGAATTATCATTAAATCAAATCGCGTATTATTTAATTGTGTTGTGAGTACAGTATTGAATCTTAATTTTAATATAATGTTTTCATATAAACCTCTCTCTCTCTCTCTCTCTCTCTCTCTCTATTGAGATGAATAGAAATTAGGTTTGAATTGTGATTCGTCTCTAACATAGTCTAGTGTTGGCGAACACGTGTAGTGTTGACAACAGACACTGTTATCCCATTTCCCGACATAACAGTTGTGTTTAGGAGTCGGACACGACTTCTGAACGCACGTGAAATCGGGCGGCGCTTTGCACTCACACGAGACGCACGGGTTTCCAGTGACCAGTTGTTGGCCGACCGTATAGTTGCGGCCATCAAACCAACACTCTTTCAAATCCCGTCCCGAATATATTGATAAAACACCGCATGTTTCACTGGTTTGGGCTAAACATCAATCATAAGTTCAATGCTTAATAAGATTGGGACTAATACTTACGGCACTTGTACTCAATGGGACAACAGCTCCCCTCGTGATAGATGGGTAGACAACCGGCGGCGAAATCTCTGTTCAACTGTAATTCACATTGATGTCGATGACAGGACAGGGTGTTGAGAGGGTTGTTGTCGTCCCAGTGCTCATCGCAGTGGCATATCTTGCAGTAATCCTCATCCGGATATATCCTCTTTCCCCGTCTGTACTGTCGGCCCCCAAAGTCACGGCACTCGCAAATACGGCACGGATTCTGCACCGGTATCCGCGACCCAACCGGAACTACTCGGCCACCAAATTGACACACTATTGATAAATACATAATAAAATATAAATCATACTTTTAATACTTTACAAAAAACATGGCCTTGATTATTAAATACCGGTTGTATTTAGAGTAATATCGGAGCACTGGTAGTCCATAAAAAATTTGCATTGTCTCTCGTAGTAATGCTTAAAATATTTATTGTCCACACATTTCTGCGTACAATTGGCGGTGGGTTTGGACTGATTTGGTCGGGAAGTGGGGGTCGGCTGTTGTGAAAAGTTGAAGGCTCGTCTGGCGGTCACCCGGGCCTCTACCTGAAGGCCAACGCGTTGAGGACTGGCCGACCAGTCTATGAGCGACGTATGTCGGGAGTGGGCGGCGGGTACTCATCGCCCTCGTAGGTGACAAACGCCCGATCCCTACGACTGGCCACTCGTTGGCCTCTAAAGTACCGGTCGCTGGTGGCCGACAACGAGCTCGGAATGGCTTTCGGATAGAGTAATTGCCCGCCTGTGTTGTCCATCAGTTCGCGGTTTAGCAACGAACGTGTCAGTTACTGCACAAATACATTAATTGATAGTTTTATTGAATTTTTGCAATATAATGTCTTTTTAAAAGTTTTACAATAATTACACATAGTAATCAAATGATTATAAGTTATAATTTATAACAATGCATACGCTACTTTTTAACAATATTTATAAATCTCATTAAAAACACAACAAACCAAACCAATAGAATTTGTTAAATAATATTTTTACAGATAATTTATCTAAAATTTACTTCCAGGGGTTTTTTAATGTCCAGGAAATACCCCACCCTGGACTATTACAATTTATTATCAATTTCCTAGATCATCCAGGACGTTATTGGACTTCTGGCAACCCTAATTATTAAGTTTTTTTGTTCATTGATTTAAATAATTATTACTCGAATTTCTCTATTTAAAATAAATTCAAATCTTGTGCACATTATAGTCTTATTTTCCCAATTTTAAGAAATATAAAAAAATTTGGCTCAAAACTATTTTCCTAAAATATATATTTAAAAATGGGAAATGGATAACATTAACTATATATAATGTTCATGGTTTGCCATTTTTAAAAAATATCTTCCAGGAAAATAGTTCTGCGCCGGAAAATTCTTTATATTCCTTAAAATTGGGAAAATAAGACAAAAATGTGGTCAAACGATGACCAATCGACGTATCTAAATACTTTTATGGTATTTATTACATGTGCCTTAACATGCTTAATCATATTAGAGAAAAAGATTTGGTAAAATCTATTTAATTTATTTATTTTAAATCATTTTGCAAATTATTTTAAATCATTTTGCAAATTATTTTGTAATCAAAATTCAATAATTTCGCTCAAATGGTAACGTAATGCTATATAAGTGACAACCCATTCTTTGTTATTCATCAAAAACATTATAAAATTAATTGACTACTGTATAAAATAAGATTATTTTTATAAGTTTTTATATTTTTTAAACAATTTATTCATAATAATACTTAAAATAATCAAAATTATTAAAAATATTTTTTCTCCTGTTACTCATTTCCCTGATTCTCTTTTTATTTTCCGTAGTTTCCCTATAAATTCCGTCCCGGCAACATGGAAATTAATGGAATTTTGAAAATTTCATGAACATTAACTATATGGTATAACTATAAGATAATAAATTATATGGAGCGTTACTATTATGTTCACTGTATATTCTAATTATTATAAAAATATTACGTGACACAAAACAATATAAATAGAATGTTATTGAAACTAATTTTATGGGGCATAAGTTATCCTAATTTTTGTAATATTGTAAAAATATTTGTTTATCATTGAAATTTTGGCATATTTGATAAATTGCCACTAGTTGTTTTATTAAAATATTTAACGTTTCACTGTATTAACTGTTGTTATAATAATAAATCAATTTGTATTTCATTTATTTAATTATTAATTAAATAAAATACGTGGAATTATTAATGCAACAATTAATTTATTGCTTATTTAAATGTCTAATTTTTTTTAATAATAACTTATTATTACGACAAAAAGAATTCACACAAAACAATTAAAACAACATATTTTATTTTGACAAAATTAATGTTTAAAAAATGTTTACTATTATCATATATAATAAATTTGTTATTAAATCAGTAGTTATTTTGGAAATAGGAAATTGTATAAAATTTTATTGTAATATTTAAAACTCAAACAATACATATACTGTACTCCTGTTTGCAAATCACTTTATTTTTATAAAATGCATTATTATTGGATTTTATTAATTATTAATGTGGTCAATATAAGTCCGACAATGACCATGGTTAATATCACTAATTATGAGATTTATTACCCGAATGGCACAGCAACCGGTCTATACCAACATATTTTTTATACTCTTAGAAGTAACGACCATTTAAGAAGTTTGTGGTACTTATTATTCAAACCTCACATGAGTTATAACGGGTCGAAAATGGATGATTGGAGCATGGTCAGTTTTCAATGCGCGATGGAAAACCAAAAACAAGTTTATATTATTAACAAAATCGGAGAACATTTTCCCATTTCATTTTCAAATGGCTATAAAATCAATGCAAATGACGATCCAAACGATATGTTTAATATGGAAAGTAGACGTAAGTGTTTGTTATCATTTACTTTATTGAGTGACTAAATATATAGATTATAAATCATATCAGAATATCGTGTAAAAATTAGACTAACCATGATAACTATCGATGAATATTCCATTATAAGCACACTGGATCAAATAGTATTCCTGGAAACAAATACGGTATGAAATATCTATTTCATGATTAAATGAAATCAAAAATTTATTTAAATGCATAAAATAGGAGTCATTGGAAAAGGCATTGAAAACCGATTTGATTTTAACCAAAATTTTTAAAAATAACGCAAACATTAAAATTAAAGAAACGATTAAAAAAGAAGTCGAAATCACACATAAGACTGAGATTTTATTTCAAAAAAATTCTGAATTCTTTATCTCCGGTCATATAAAAGGAAAGATTTCAACCAAATTTGGAGTTTCTTTCTTTGGTTTATTTGATAATAAATTCAAACTTGAAATCGAGGCCGGAGTGGAGGGAGGCTTCAAATCCATTGCCAGTGACGGCCGATCCGATAGCGATTCCCGTCGGGAGTCGTTAGCATTGGAAACCGAAGTACACGTCAAACCCTTTACGTGTGTATCCGTCGAGGGATTTATAAAAAGTGCCAAAAATATTGAAATGCCGTTCCGCGCGATCCGCACTCTTACCGGCTCTGACCCGAGATATGCCCCAAAGGATACACCATTGGATGGTTTGACGTTATTTGTATTGATAAACAAATACGGCTACAGAAATGAGATAACAATAAACAACGAATCACTTGTAATCAACCAAAATGGTATATATCGAGGATCTTATGGTATTAAGACTTATATTGAAGTACGAGAACTAATTGATGACAATACACAACCCCTTATCCCGGGCTCTATTGGATCCACAAATTCAGTCTTTCATTTTCGTTCAGTGGAAATAAATATATTGTTTTGTTTTGCAAAAATGTTACCAATTTTTGTAATCACTGTTTTTGGTTTGTAATTACAGTATTGTGGCAAAAATACAGAAATTGTATTGAAAATGTTTGTATGACATGTAGCGCTTACCTTATACTTAAACTTTATATAATATTAAATACACTATTAGCTTTAAATTAATTTTTATTAATACACAGTTCAGTTTGTAATAATATATTTGTTTAGTTGAAACTACAATTTGAAAACGTTAAACAATTTATTTGATTGAGTTAAAATGAATTCAATTAATATTATATTTAATAAAATTTTCAATAAATTATAAACATATTAACTAAATAATTAAAAGCAGTAATTTTTAAATATATAATTAAATTAAAAAATTTAAATTATCAAAGAATACCATACTATGTAACCATACCATGAATAAAGTAAATTTTCATAGCATAATAAAAATTAAATATAATATTTAGTAAATCAATTGAATGTAAATCTAAATTGTACTGTATAATTCATAATAGTATTGATAATCCATTGGATGTGATACGAGACCCGAACACCGGTTTCCTCATAGGCTTCAATGTATGGCAAACACTTGTTTCCCGGTTCTGACATTCCGCCCGAGTCTATGCCTATAAGTACGGCCACACCCGACACATACTGTACAATCGGCGAACCAGAATCACCCTGGGCAACATTCAACAACAAACAATATACAGTATAGTTAATGACAAGTTAACATTAAATTCAAAACGTATGATTGCTCGTTACCATTAATAATAGTAATCTCTAAACAGCCGGGAAAACGAGTGATCAAAATATTTTAATTATTGCATACTTAACAATTAAACCCCGATTATTATTTAATCAATCGCAATTAAACCCCGAAGAGTAAAAATTTGTTTATATTTGTGATTATTTTATGTTTAATATAAATATTTTATTAATTTATTGATTTCAAAAACTTGTTTTTTATTCAAACCAAACATTAACTTGGATTTAATTGTTAGTTCCTTTTCAAACACTAGTCTCGGTTTTTGAAAGTTTTGCAACAAGTAAAATATTTTTATCACATTTTTCCCGATGTTTAG